AGTCCATGGCTAGAGGTCTGTTTTTGTCAGTAATCTTCTATTTTCTTCACTGTTCTTCACATGTGTTTGGATATTTTAATATTGATTTCTCTATTTCTATGTATAAACAAACTAATGCTTCAAGAAACAACAACATATGTATATACTTCCCTTTTTTTTTCTGACCGAGTGTGTATCTTAAAGGTTTGTATCTATTAAATGCCGGTTGAACCATATTTTCATTAATATGGGGTAGAAACTAAATGTGACTGTGTGTGTTACTATGTGTCTCTGACTATGGGTATGTGTTTACTTGTACAGCTATGAATGCGAAGGATCTCTTACCAGTGTTGAAGACAATTCTGAACTGAAGAGTTGGTTGAATGTGGATTAGATAAATAATAAGAATTGAATGCATGCTTCATAATTAACTATTGAATGTTACTTGGTAATTTGATAGTAGTTGTTGCTCTATAATTGGTTGTGTTTTTGTTAAATTCAATCATATATGTTAGTAATGTCATCATTATTTTTTTCTTTCTTTCAGTTAAAAGTTTTGAGATGAAGCAGATTTTTCCTTAAATGAAACCTTTATTGATTTGTAAGGCACAAAACATCTTCAATATGCACATTTGTTTTTAACTATGTATGTATTGATTTCATGGATTTCGGTCTTGATATGGACAAGATACAAAGATACAACAATTGTATCTCTGTTTGATTTAGTTTTTATTTGGATTTACAGGTACAGTTTGTAGAAAGTGGAAGAACAACCATTGATGCAATAAAAGTAGGTAATTTGTTTTTATTTTTTGTTTTTTTTGGATATTCTCTGTTTTTGCAGGTGTGAGCGTCTTTTTTTCATTTTTATGTGTTTTTGTGTGATTTGGATATTGATTCACTAAATGGATTTATGGAGATTTGTTGCTCCATATCCAGGTAACATTTTGAGCAAATTCTGTTTGAATTCAATCAAATGGATTTTTGGATTTTAGTTTGATCGTACAGTATTGTTAACCTAGATCCACCTTTTTATTTTCACTCGGAATAATTTGGTAGGACAAATTGATGGTGGCGGTGGTTGGTTTGATGAATCTGTAAAACTCAAGGAGCTTTTCCAACATCTGTTGATGTTGTCAATATCTTCTCCATCAGCCACAACCCCTATTGATTAAGAAGCATGTTGATATATATTTAGACAAAATCAAGCTCATGATGTGGGTTTCTGTAGGTACCAGATGATAACTGAAAACCATTGTATCCAATCTACTTCTTATGCTATTTTTTGTCTGATTCAGATTAACAAAGAAAACCTCATTTTTTCTTGCATTTTCTACTTTTACCCCCACATTCAGCTTCAATCTATGATATGTTGGTTGTACTGTGATTAAGCTAGCTACTGCTTACCAAATAAAAAATTATTTGAAATAGTTGTAATGGTGCAAATAGTTTTATAATAGAAACACACTTTCCTTGATTTTTTAATTGTTCCATTTAGATTGGGATGAGAATTGCTTACACAATCAACAATAAAGGTTCTGTATTGCCATAGTAATTCGTTGAGTGGCAAAGACTACTATGTTAGGATGATATATTGTGTGCCAAGCTTCATTTGGTTGATCTTGCTGGTTCAGAAATGGCAAAAAAAAGGGGATGATGTTATGCGTTTATGGAAGGTATGATGGCATTTAACATACTGACCATAAGATATAAAACTGTTTTTTTGGTTTGCTGATTATAATGTGTTCTGCTATGTTCGTTTTCTCTGTTTTCAAGGAGGAGTTGTCATTTATGGGAAAAGTGTTATTGCAATGGTAGAAAGTGACTTTTTGTGTTGACATGGATTGTCGGCTGTCTAAGAGTTGTAATTATATGGTTACCTGTAGTTTTTGATGTTGCAAGAGTGGGTAAAAGTTAACAGATTTTAGATTTATAATGTTGTAGATACTTTTAAATAAGACATTTAAGCCATATATAATAATAACATATGCTATTTATAATGTTGCAAACACTGTTTACAATTCTTGAAGTTTATCTTTCAGATTTTTTTTTGTTCTCTTGCATCCACGTAAAAATACGATTAAGTTTATATTTTTTTTATTTGATATTGATATGTTTATTGGATTAAATTCTACAATTCATTAAGTTTAATTATTTATGTAAGATGAAAATTTGAGTTTCTCTATTAAATAAGCAAAACCTCATAATTCTAGGATAAAAATTAATACAAAAATTAATACAGTGATATATTTTTGAGTAATTGTTAATTTTAAAACGAAAATTTATTATGGATTTTGTTTTTTCATCGATTTGATTTTAACTATGGTGAATTATAATTATAACAATTCTAATTTCTAAATGAATGTAAAATCAATAACCAAATTTAGCTATAAAATATATTAAAAAAGGTCATCTTCTTTTATAAATACCAACAAAATATTAGTATTTAATAACATGTGACAGAAAAACATCAAATTTAATTGAACCGAAACTTTAAATATATTTTACCAATCACATATAAGTTTTCATATATAGTATTGGAGTGACATTTCAGATTTTCTCATTTGCTTTTGGTTTCCCTATTTCTTTATCACCTTTTTTTTCCCTTTTAGTTCATATTTTGATAATTTATTAGGTGTGAGATCCATCTATTACATGAGTTTATTTAAAAGAAAAATTAAATATAAAATTTTAAACATTTGAAAAGATTGAATTTATGACAAAAAAGTAAAAACAAATAGTTGAATTATTAAAATTAAATTTAGTAGTTTTGAAATTACAAAGAAAGTCCATTAATGAAATTGATATGCATTTATTATTATTTATAACATTTAAATACTATGTGGAATTCAATAAAATGAAAAAAAACCATAAAATAACATGTGGAAAAAAAATAAAATGAAAATAATAAGAAAAAGTCATGTAGCATAATATATTAGAAGGTGACAAGTGCCAAAATCATTTTTATTTATTAGAGAGGATAAAATTTGTTTATGTTTTCATGTTTTCTTTTATTTTTATTTTTTTGTTTTGTCTATAGTGTTCACAACAATTGGAACAAAAAAAATCATCTTATAGCGATCTCAAAAATAGATGTCGTAAGCTTAGGTTTTGAAGATCTCTACACTGTCAACAACGTAAAACACAACTATCTGCGTAAAAAATTAGTCGCCTCTATAAACTAATTTCTTACAAAAACTATTCGCACCCGTCGGTTGGCGCGGGTAAACGGCTAGTACCTTAATAAGCATTTAGCTTCAAATGCTGAATTTTAAGAGGTACAACCCTCAATGCATCATATACAACAATTTTATGCATATGAATGAAAAAGTCAAATAAGATGATAAGATTTTGAATTATTCAAGGTTTGACCAATTGTTCCTCCAATTGAATCGGTCTAACAAACTCCCCGTTATATCACTTCATCCGATTTTCAGTTTAAAACATACATTGATGCTTGAATTCCAAAAACTAAAAATATTCTCTCTAAAACATTGGCATCGACATTACTCTTGACATAAGTTTCTTTGAACCTGTGTCTCTTCACTTCTAATCTTCTTTCCTAACTCAATTTTTGGGTTTCTGTTACTTAAAACCTCTATGGTTTTTTTTAGCTTCATGTTATGGAGGTTGCGGTAACACCACCGTCAAAGATCTACACACACACATATTTCTCTCATCTTTCTATCCACAAACCCTAATCAAAGCCACTATCACCATCTGCATCGCTAACACAACCACCACCACCACCACTCTCATCCTTCTCTTCCGTAATCGGCGACCTTCAACACCACACACCACCATCCTCGATTTTATCGGTTACATATTTTTCTAATCTATGTTTTATTTGGATTTCCAGGACTCCGATGAAGTCTGCACCACCATTACTGTCATCACCACCCTTTGTTCCAGTCGCGACCATCCATCCAGGTACGATTTCACATAAGCTTTCAACACCTTCTTTCGTTCTCTTTTCTTCATCTGTTCCGATCACCAGTGCACATCACCTTAATCTTCCTATTTGGGAACACTTTTCTATTAGAAACCCAAAAGGATTCTCTTTGTGTGTGTCTATCTCGCTGAGAAAACTTTCATTTGACTTTTTTGTTATCTTTTCATTATCATTTTTCTTTTGCTGTAGGATAAAATTGCGAAGACCAGCAAGAAATAAAGATATATGTGTGTGTGTCTGATGATATCATGCTCCAATCCTCACTCTCTATCTCGATTTCAATCCTTAGAACTTACTCTCGATCTAGATATTTTGCAGATAAGAGACAGCCTACGATTTCAAGCCCTAAATTTAATCAGTGAGCCTTTTTTTCGTTTTTCTCCTTCTTCATATGCATTTCTGTGGAAAGACAATTAAACTCTCATGTGGTTGAAAAAAATTCAGATCTCTAAGTCTTTGAAGCCTCTTTCTTTATCAACATGTGACAGTTCACAGGTTGTTAGTCCTAATCAGGATAACCAGTCTCCTCATTTATTACATGACCCTATGAAAACACCAAATATGATCTTCGTTGATGTTGATGGGTGATGGATACTTTATCTAGATAGTAGTGTTTTATCTTGCTTTACTTTTGCCGATCCCCAATTTTTTTTTATATATTTTCTTGATTTTGGGAACTAATTGAGATCTTACTTTTCTACATGAAATAGAGGAATATAGGGTATTTTTTTTAGTTCTTTGGAGGGTAACCAAGTTAGAGAACATATTCTTCTCTACAAGTATTTTCCTTTAGAATGGAGGATGAATAAGTGCTTACTGGGATCTTTTTTGGTGGTCATACACCACCATTGAATCCATAATGTACATTTAGTTTATTGTGTTTTATCATCTTTTCTTTTGTAAATGTCTTCAATCTTCATCTATATACATATCGAAAGCACCATCAATAGTTGTTGGTTCAATCCTGGAATCATTTCTCTCATCAGTGGCTTCTCATCATTCTAACCTCGTGTACCAAAGCTGAAACCCATGCCCAAAGGATGAATTTAAGGTCATACCGCCACCACCAATGATATCTGCAAATGAGGAGGTAAGTGTGTCCTAACCATTAGTTAAAATTTTTAAGGATTCCTTCCTGCATAAAAGATACTGATATAGTTTTTCTTAAAAATCGACTATAATTTTGATTTTCACCGGTTTTGTCACACAATTGGTGTTGTTGTTGTTGTAAGCATGTTTTAGTGTTTGGATATTTTTTTTGAGCTGTGCTTTTGCTAATAATTTAATTTAATATTTACTTGTAGCTGAATCTTGGTGCTGTGAATCCTGATGAACTTGGATATGTTGAATCCATTTCTATTGAGGAAATTGGTGGTGTTAGGCTATGTAAGGATTATAATTTTTTTTTTGCAAAAGACAAAAATGCCCCTGTCATAAAAAATAACCTTTATCTTTTGATGTGAATGTTGTAAGAAACAAAGAAGGTGGGAACTTTGACACCACTATTTTGCTGCATCCATATATGGATAGGATATTGGATGACCTGGAAATGACTGTCGATGATGGTGTAAATACTTACAAGGTAACCATATTTCTTCATCTTTCTTTTTGTTAGACAATTTAATTTAATTTGTTTTTCTTCTCTTTTTTTTGGGTTTGGTAGCATAAACCATCAAGTGTTTGTGGGATTTTTTCAGTAAAAAATGGAGGTACACTGCTATTAAGCAAAAAAAATGTACATGGATTATATTCGTAGTTGATGATATTCTTTACAATATTTCATGTATAATATTTTGATTTTAGTGCATCAGGTACACAAAAGTAACAAAAATAACTACATGATGTGGTGCTTTTGATCACAATGGAGACAATAAAATCAATTGGATCTTTCATGTGTGAGAGAGGCTTATAAAGTGTTTAATTATTATCACTTGGAATGTTGGACTGTTTGGATTTGGTATTATTCTTCGGTTTAAAGATCAAAGTAGAGATGTTTAAGACTAGAATATTGGAATCGGCATCATTAGCCAAAAAAAAAGTGTAATTTTGAAAGAATCTCTTAATATGTGGATTTGAAAGGTTTAGGATGTGCAAATATATTGAGTTGTAACTTTTACATATACAAATGACTTAAAATAAAAATAGATCTACTCTTTTCTATTTTACTTATAAAAATGTCTTGGAGTAAGGTGAAATAAGAAAAATGAAATAGGAAAAAATGATACGATTTAATACTTGTAGTTTGTTATTATTTGTTATGGTTTTCTTATTTACTTTATATTTATTATATTGAATATAAATTCAATTTTATCACTTTGCATTAAATTCATAGAACGAAATAATCATATATGTTTTCAAATAACTAAAATAGATATATAACTCTTAATAATATGGGTAATTTAATGGATATAAATTAATACAGAAGTAGTGTACTTATCAGCAAAACTAAACATCACAAACTTAAACAAGTCTTTAATTTTCATAAATTAGAATAACTTGTAAAACATTATTTTTAATGGTATTCTCATAAGTTTTGTTATAGAAATATTTGTAATTTGACATAAAGTTTTAACTTTAAAAAAAGTCCAACAAAAGCAAAATCCTAAACCTAAACAAGCAACAATATAGTTCTATTTTTAACTTAAAAAACAACATATTTTTTGATCTCAAAGTAGGAATATGTTCTTTATTTTTAAACCAAAGAGTAACATAGTTCTAATTTATTTTATTTTCATCCCATAATAGCAAATTATTTTTGATTTTAACCTAAAACTACAAACAATTTTTATTTTTGACCCAACATAGGACATACTGTTAATTTTAATCCACACAAAAAACATATTTTTAAGCCAAAATAACATAATTTTATATTTAACCGAAATAACAAAACATTTATATTTAGAGATAATGTCATAAAAGCCCTTAACTCGAATATGTTTTGCGATGATAATCAATAAAGATCAAGGACAAACAATTCTGAATGTATGTAAATATTGGTATTCTCGCATGAACTACTTTACGTTGCATTCTCCAGTGGTACGTCAAGTGGCAATACAAAAATATTATTAGTGAATCCTGAAAAAAAAAGTTCAACGATGATGAAGTCTGTACCTGAAACATGGTGTATAAAGAAGTGGCACGATTAATATGGTACATTCAACTATTACTAATTACATCTACAGTTAACTATTAGTAATTATATGTATCCACCACTCCAAAGGGGAGGAACTCGAGTTGTAATCTTGGCATGGTATCAACTGAAAGGTGAAACCGGCCTCCCAAAAGGACCCTTTAATTGTTAGGCCTCCCAAAAACATGATTCTTATTGATAATTATTTAGATGTAGTAAATTAATTGCGCAAAAAAAAAAAAACTAATTTTTTCTAGAAACTAATATCTGAAATAACTATTTGCACCCGTGTTTGGCGAGGGTAACAGCTAGTGTATATATATATATATATATATATATATATATAT